ATAGGGAAAGAAAAGTATTTTCAACAAATGGTGTTGTAATATCTGGATACATATGAACAAAAAATTAACCTTGGCATCTACCTCATATCATATACAAAAATTAATCTGAGATGGATCACAGGCCTATGTGCCAAAACAAAAGCTTCCAGAAGAAAACACAGGAGAATTTCTTCATGATCTTCTAGTAGGCTAATAATTTTGAGTACACAAAGAGCGTTAACATAAAAAACAGATTTCATTAAAAAGATGAAGATTTCCTGCTCATCAAAAGACACTCTTAAGAAAATGAAATGGGCCAGGAATAGTGGCTCACACCTGTAATCCCAAGACTTTGGGAGGCCGTGGCGGGAGGATCAAGGATCACTTGAGCCCAGGGGTTCAAGACCAGCCTGGGCGACATAGTGAAACCTTGTCTCTATTAAAAAAAAGAAAAATAAAATGAAATGGCAAGCCACAGATTGAGAGACGATACTCATAATAAATATATCTGACAAATATATAAAGAAACTCGTATATACAACTCATTAATAAAATGACTAACAACCAAATTAAAAATAGGCAAGATTTGAACAGACATTTCATGAAAGAAGATAAACCAATAAGCACATGCCAAGATGCTGAACATCATTTATCACCAGGAAATGTAAATTAAAAATATGAGATATTACTTATCCTCTCTAGAATGGTTCAATTTAAAAAGACTGACAATAGGAAGTGTTGATGAGAATGTGAAGCAACTGGAACCCTGGCATATTGCTGATGGGAGGGTAAACTGATACCACTTTAAAAAAGCTTGTCACCTTCTTATAAAGTTAACCACATATGTACTCCCACTCCCGGGTATTTACCTGAAGAAAGGAAAACACATGTCTATAAAAAGGCTTGGTCATAGCAGCTCTATTAATAAAATCCCCAACCTGGAAACAACACAAATATCTACACATGGGTGAATGGATGAATACATTAGGCTATATTCATATAATGGACTATTACTCAGCAGTAAAAAAGAAATGCTGTAACAGATTAAAAAAAAAAAAAATATATATATATATATATATATTTTTTTTTTTGAGACAGAGTCTCACTCTGTCACCCAGGTTGGAGTGCAGTGGCGCGATCTCCGCTCACTGCAACCTCCGCCTCCTGGGTTCAACAGATTCTCCTGCTTCAGCCTCCGGAATAGCTGGGATTATAGGCGTGTGAAACTATGCCCAGCTAATTTTTGTATTTTTAGTAGAGATGGGGTTTTGCCATGTTGGCCAGATTGTTCTCAAACTTCCTACCTCAGGTGATCTGTCTGCTTCAGTCCACTCAAAGTGCTGGGATTAGAGACGTGAGCTACCGGGCCCAGCCACCATAACAGATAAATCTTAAACAATTATGTTGAATGAAATGAATATAAATTTCATTGATCTGTATTATTTCACTTAGAAGTATCTAAAAGGAAAAACTAAGACATGGTGATACAGAACAATAGTTGCCTTGAGAGTGAAGAGACTATTTGGAAAGAGGTTATAAGGTAACTTTGTCAAAACTTTTCAAAAGATATGCTTAAAACCTGTCCACTCCATTGTATGTAAATTATACTGCAATTTTTTAAAAAAGATACATATGCAAAGCCATTTCCTTCAAAGTACTCATGGTTTGGTTAAGGAAACAAAACATATATGAAGATGTGCAGAACTAAAAGAAAATACCAAACAGATTCCAAAGCAGTATGTGATTAGAGTCAAAGGAGACTGGGAGGAGGGGAGAGAGCTGCCGGCAAAGTAGAGAGGATGGGAAAACCCACATGGGAGGTTGGATATGTGTCTATTTGAGGGGGCAGAAAGAGGGTGGGAGGAAAGGCATGAGCAAAGGCACTGAGTTACACAGCAGAAGCTAAAACCCATGGTCTTCCACGTGTTAACTTGCTGGCCTTTCATAGCAAGTTCATCCAACAGGGAGTACAGTCCTGTTTTAGGAATGAGGTTCAGAGAGGTTAAGAGCTCTGCCCAAGACCACAGAGCTTGCAGGATTAGACTTTGCAATAGCAACTGGGGCATGCATGACCCCAAAGCCTGTGCTCACCCTGTGAATGGTGTTTCACTTGTGAGGGACAGAATCTGCTGGACAGCCATGAGAAAGAAAGAAGCACTTGTGGTAGGAAAAGCCCTGGTCAGTGCCAGGAAGTGTCCTTTCTGAGGTTACATTGTTTAGAATTTTGCTCTACAGGAGGGAATAAACAGCTGATTCCACTCAAAAGGCTCCACTGCTGTTCATAAACCATGAGAGTGTTTATGTCATGGGCAGAGCTCCCCAAGTGAATTATAGCCTTTTACACACTGTGTACATACAGTATTTTCACAGGACAAAGAAACAGGGTGTGGAAGGAATGCTACAGTTGACCCTCCTCTCTTTCCACCCTTTGTCTTCAACCTTCTCCACCAATCTCAAGACTATACTGCAGGACAGTTCTTTCATGGTGTTTATCTGGCTTTCTGACATAGCCCAGGGAAGTTACTCAGTTCAGTTGAAGAATGGAAACTTTAAACTACTTCTTCTTGCTAGCACGAGCTGCTGGCTTTCTCTTTTATTACATTTAAAATGGATCCATCTTCGCTACAGTAGAAAGCAGATTTTTTAAACATTACTTCAGATGTTTTCTTTAGACTGGTGTTAACATAAAGCAAATGTCTCTTGAAACTCTGAACCAATCTGTTAAGATAAACAGGCTTCACTTAACGATATTCCTGTACTGAAATCATGGGCTTGTGGTCTGCAACTTCTTAAAGACTCAATTCATACTTGCTAAAATGTCTACTTAGGAAAAACACATGCACACACACACACACATACACACATACTAAGATATCTTTGCCATGGAAACCACAAAGACACATCTGGTTCAGACTCCACAGCACATACCACAGATAGTGCCCATCTTCTAAGGGCAGATCGTACGTATACACAGGGAAAGCCCAGAAAATTAAACGATACCAATACTTCAAGCATAAAACATACTTTATAATTCCTTTTTTCCATTGCATTTCAAGATATGTAAGTCTTAATCATTGTTACTTGTTACATTTGCATATGCTTGTTTTTGTCCTTAATGGGATTTCAGACTTGGGTGTCATAGATAAAAAGAGAAAATAAAGGGAAAGAAGAAGGCAATTAAAGTTTCAGATAACAACTCTGGATTCTGCGTATAAATCTGAGGCAGTCTGGGTTTCTAGAAGAAGACACTGTCATTATTTAAGAGTCTCAGGCTAGGTGTGGTGGCTCACACCTGTAATCCTAGCACTTTGGGAGGCTGAGGCGGGCAGATCACCTGAGGTCAGGAGTTCAAGACCAGCCTGGCCAACATAGCAAAACCCACTATGTTGTATTTCTCCACTAAAAATACAAAAATTAGTCGGGCGTGGTGTCACGTGCCTGTAGTCCCAGCTACTCAGGAGGCTGAGGCAGGAGAACTGCTTGAACCTGGGAAGCAGAGGTTGCAGTGAGCCGAGAATCCTCAGCTGGTACTCCAGCCTGGGCAACAGAGCAAGATTCTGTCTCAAAAAAATAAAATAAAATAAAATGAAAAGTTCTCAAGCCTGCTATAAGTGAAAGTCTTGTACTACAGAAAAATATAGGTGAGGTCAGGAGGCCCCATGGAAGGGAATGGGGTCTCTCTGGGAGGGAGAGGCAAGAACAAGAAGTCCTACTAAGTTCTTGATTAGTCATGGCTAACCAAGAGCATTCCAGATCTGGAGGTCCAGGTTTTGTTAGTAGGTACTTTGAAACTGTCAGAAGTTTGTATGATAAAGGCTTTATCCCCCTTGCTGGGCTACAAATTCCATGAAGACAGGGACAATTTCTAATTTGTTTATCATTATATTCCTAGCATGGAGCACAATGCTTGTAACATGGTAGATGCTTAATAAATACTGGATGAGCAAATGAAGAGGATGCTTAATAGACAGTCTATATTTGTGTGATACTTTGGATCTGATCATCCTTCAGCTGGGATCACAGGTGTGAAGCATATGACTGTTCCAAGCGATAAAGTTATAACCACATGCCATTCTATGCTTTATTTTTGGAAACTGTGATTTTGATCCACTGCTTCTTCAGTCTAGGAGGCCATGGTTTATGAAGACTGATGTTCCACACACCAAAGTCTTAAATATAAAAAACAATCAGCATATTTCTGTATTTACCTATTCTGTATGACTGAAGTGAGGCCTTCCACACTGAGAAGTTCATGAGCAATAGTTGTATCTCTAAACTCTAAACTTTAGCTAACTTCAACCTCTGTGAAATCCTACTTCCATATCTATTCTAATAGCCCTAAGCTATTTGTGTAGCTGTTTATTTGACCGAGAAATACACAGGTCCTACTTTGGGCAACGGCTGTGGTATACACTGCAGAGACACAACGAGGTATAGAATTCAGGGAGATTCATTTTCATACCAAAGAGTAGCTACTGGTTCCAGGTGTTGACTACTAAGCAAAAATTCTGTTTGTTTACTGCCATCTGAAATTTCCATTTTTTAAAAAGTAGCTGCGAACATTTTCATCATTGACGCCATTTACCCACAACTCGAATTCCTGTTTAGTATTTATCCTCCAGTCTAAATAGAGAGGTCGTTTTCTGATAAATGCTACACTCCATGAAAAAAAAAAAAAAAAGCTGTCATGGCTAATCTTAGACACCAACAGAAACAGCAGAAAAAGGAAACACTTTCAGATGTAGATCAGCTTCTTCCTGATGAAGCTACGAAGGGCCAAACAGTAAATATTTTTGGTTTTCTAGGACATCCAGTCTCTGTTGCAACTACTCACTCTGCCATTGTAGCATTAAAACAGCCATAGATAATAAGTAAAGAAATGGGTGTTGCTGTGTTTCTATAAAACTTTATTTACAAAATATGCACAGGCAGGATCTAGCCTGCAGGCGGTGGCTTGCCAACCCCTGGACTAGATAAACAAAATGCTCTTATCTGTAGGAAATAACGACAGATTCACTTACTTTGCTCTTTTGGCCATTTCATTTCCATCCCATCTGGGGCTGTACGGGTAATTTTTTTGGGCCTGGGAGTAAAGCTGTCCGCTGTTGGTGAAGTGATAGACGGACTGAAATGTGAGAGTTGGCTGGTCTCGAGGGAAAAACAGAGGCAGGTCAACTGCGAAGACAGAAGAAAGAAAAAGAAAGTTAGAGCATAAACACATCTTACGATTTTTTTTTTTTTTTTTTACTAAATCCGAATGTTAGGTACAAAACTCTATTCGAACCACTAATACTGTTTGAGGCTTGGATGAAAGGTGTGGTGTATAGAGAGGGACCAAGAAATAAATACAAGGTGACTTCTCCATCTTCGAGGAGTTTATAATATAGAGAGACAGATCACACACGGGTGAAAATGTCACCAATGGAAAGCATGACGTGTAGGTGCTGTAAAAAGGCTTTGAAATGGTCACAGAAGCTTAGGGAAGGATGCCTGGTCGCCTGCAACCATCTGACATTCCTCTCTAGCACTTCCCTGGATCAATATTCCATTGCAGAGTTCTCTTTCTATCTGTTTTAAGTGTCTATTATAGTATAAACTCTTCAAGGGTTGGGCAATGTCTTCCACATCTATAATTTGATGGAGGAAGCGGGACAGAGGCTGTTTTTCAAGAATGCATTTGGAGAAGGGGTAAAGAGTGCAGGTGATAATCTTTCTACTTGATAAGATATGGCAACCAGACTACCAGGAAAAATGAAGTTATCACTCTACTTCCAATCAAGCAGTGAATTTTGATACTCAGCAGTTTCAATTTTTTCCATATGCATTCCCACATATATTTATATCTCCTAAATCAGTGGGAATTCCTTAATGGAATGTATAAGGGACTACTCTGAGCACTAAATATGTCTGCTGTGATAGTACAGGCTAATTCCAATCTTTGCTGTTAACATGTGTTACATGCTTTATCTTTTCATTTTGGGGTTAACTCAATTTTTAAAAGTAAACTGATTTGTTATTAGTTGAGGCAAATCATCATTAAAAACACAGACTGTTTCAATAACACATTCTTAAAGGTATATAATGTATATGTGTGTGAATGTTATCCACTTCTAGGACAAAGAATAGGAACAGCATAAGAGTAATAAGAAAAACAAGTATAGAATTTTCTAGATTTATAGGGTACCTTCTTTATACACTTTATCTAATTTGTAACTTAGAACTCCATGACAGAGATATTATCTTCAACATTTGCATTTAACAGGTGAGCAAACCTGAGACTCTAAGAGGTTTATTAACTTGCTCATGTCACAGCCAGGCAGGGGCAAGACTAAAATCTAGTCCCATGATTCAAACACTGGGCTCCTACTATGCCCCACATTGCCTTCTCCTGCTCCAAAGGACACTGGCCTAACCTGCTTACAACTCATTCACTATGTCACAATTTAGGAAGCTACAGTTGTCATTGTGAAGGATGTATAAGGTTCATCTTTTTAGCTACATGAGGAAGATATATTTAAAAATACATACCAGATAATTAGGCCGGGCACAGTGGCTCACGCCTATAATCCCAGCACTTTGGGAGGCGGAGGTGGGTGGATTACTTGAGGTCAGGAGTTCAAGACCAGCCTGGCCAATAGGGTGAAACACCATCTCTACTAAAAATACAAAAATTAGCCGGATGTGGTGACAGGCACCTATAATCCCAGCTACTTGGGAGGCTGAGGCAGGAGGATCACTTGAATCCGGGAGGCGGATGTTGCCGTGAGCTGAGATCGCGCCACTGAACTCCAGCCTGGGTGACAGAGTGAGACTCTGTCTTAAAATAAATAAATAAATATACATACTAGATAATTATACATGTATCACTATTCTAGTCTGGGGTGACATACAACTTGGACTAGGTACTCTCAGCACTCAATATGATTTCTTGAAGGAAAACTTAGGTCCACAGCAGACTTTTAAGCAGAAGCCAAAAAACTCCCAAGAATCAAAAAACTATCCAGTTGGGAGGGCCTCTTAGACCTCTGAGTGCACTTGACTCTGATGATGTCTGACTCAGTGCTGCAGGGGGTTTCTACAGATGAATCACACGACAACCAGAGAAAAGGGCACGATTTTGAATGTACATTCTTTAGTCACATTTTTCAAGCACCACAATAGTGCAGTCTGAATACATGTCTGTTGGTGCCAAAGCAGAGATTTCATAATATATAGGAACAATACAAAAGACTGATTCAAATAAATAATTCAATTCAGAAATTGCTTTTGAGTCCCTGCATATTGCAAAGCTTGATCTGTAACGTTTTCAGTCACTCTGCACAAATAGTGCTTTCTAAAATTAACTTTGTATCTTTTCTCATTACTACTTCCATTTCTTCTGATTAATATTCATTTATTTATTTATTTATTTTTGAGACACAGTCTCGCTCTGTTGCCCAGGCTGGATGGAGTGCAATGGCGCCATCTCAGCTCACTGCAACCTCCGCCTCCTGGGTTCAGGCAATTCTCGTGCCTCAGTCTCCCAAGTAGCTGGGATTACAGGCACCTGCCACCACATCTGGCTAATTTTTTATATTGTTAGTAGAGATCAAGTTTCACCATGTTGCTCAGGCTGGTCTCGAACTCCTGACCTCAGATAATCCACTCACTTTGGCCTCCCAAAGTGCTGGGATTACAGGTGTGAACCACTGCGCCTCTTCTGATTAATTTTTAAAAATGGCCTATTCACAGCCGGACGTGGTGGCTTACTCCTGTAATCCCAGCACTTTGGGAGGCTGAGGTGGGCAGATCACCTGAGGTCAGGAGTTCGAGACCAGCCCGGCCAACATGGTGAAACCCTGTCTCTACTAAAAATACAAAAAATTAGCTGGGCATGGTGGTGCGTACCTGTAATCCCAGCTACTCAGGAGGCTGAGACAGGAGAATCTCTTGAACTCAGGAGGGAGAGGTTGCAGTGAGCTGAGATAGCGCCACTGGACTCCAGCTTGGGCAACAAGAGAAAAACTCTGTCTCAAAAAAAAAAAAAAAAAAAAAGGCCTATTCACATATACTTTGACTTCAGTTGTTTTATACTATGTACACTTTTGCAAATATAAAATAAGATTGAGATTAACCTCCAAAGCAATCATTACTAGCAGAAAAGTACCATGAGAGCTTCCCTACAAGAAAGCAACAACTTTAAACAGTAGAACTCAATGGCAATAATTTATAAATTTAAAGCAAATACAGTCATCACTCAGTATCCAAAGCAATGCAGATAATACCACAGGCTATGTGATTTGCAAGCTACTGGCTTTTTTTGGGGGGTTTTGGAATGTCTTCTATTTTCGTTCTTATTATTTTGTTTTGTAGAAAATGAGCTGATGATATTAATATTTTAATATGCTAAAAAATGATTTTTTCCCACCTATTTCGGAACCATCTTCTTTGACCCCCTAAATGCCCAGTTAGCATCAGAAATAATTCGAAGGAAATTTATCTACCTGGGCAAGTGAGTTGTTCTGATTTTTAAAAAACAGCAGCAAGGTAATGTTGATATGCACAACAATCCCCAAAAAGCATTGATTACATGATTATTTCTCCATGGAGATTTGTCTAACAAAGTGTAATTGAAGCCAATATTAAAATTTGAATACTTTCTCAGTGCACACAGTAAATGTATTATCAGGGGAGCAGCAATGGTCAGAGTACCTCAGAGATAAAATCGGTAATTCACATATGAGAAAATAAAAATTTAAAAATACAGTATCTTGCTCAACTTAACTAAGTTGTATCCTGTCTATATCAGTCAATGGTCAATAAAACGATGGCTTATTTAAAAATGTTCTATGCATAAGAATGAGTTAATAACTAAAATATTTATGAGAAATACTTCGCATTTTTCTGACAAGAATGATTTGAATGGTACAACTTAGTCAAGATTAAAAAAATTAAAACTTTCTTTCCTTATCCCTAAATGTTTCTGTCACTTCACTTTTGCCTATAGGTTAACTCATGATTTTCCAATGCATAGTAAAATAATTACTTTAGGACTTCCAACAGCTAACTTGCTCGGAAGGAACCGCCCAGATTCCAAGGATTTGGGGCTCATAGTTTCAGCTATATAAAAATTGAATACTTTAACCATTTGCTTTCTTTCTTTTTTTCTTTCCTTTTTTTTTGAGATGGAGTGTCACTCTGTTGCCCAGGCTGGAGGGCAGTGGTGTGATCTCGGCTCACTGCAACCTCCACCTCCCAGGTTCAAGTGATTCTCCTGCCTCAGCCTCCCAAGTAGCTGGGATTACAGGCGCCTGCCATTATGCCCAGCTAATTTTTTGTATTTTTAGTAGAGATGGGGTTTCACCATGTTGGTCAGGCTGGTCTTGAACTCCTGACCTTGTGATTTGGCCGCCTCAGCCTCCCAAAGTGCTGGGATTACAGGCGTGAACCACCATGCCTGGCCAGCCATTTGCTTTCTTAGAACCTACTGGGTCAGGTTTGATTCTTACATCATCCCATTTGATTCAGTTACTTAGTGTCGGTATTATTTTGACAACTGCTTCCTATTTCCTTCTTCCCATATACAGAGACTAAATTTTGGTTGGCTTTTCATCCACAGAGGGGATGGTCTGCACTTGTTTAGTAGAATTTTAGTCACCATTTCTTTCTTCTCCTTGTTTTAAAAAAAAATTTTAAATTTTAAATTTTTTATTTTTAGAGATGAGGGTCTTGCCATGTTGTCCAAGCTGGTCTCAAACTGCTGGCCTCAAGTGATTCTCCCTCCTTGGTCTACCAAAGTGTTGGGATTACAGGCATGAGCCACTGCACTTGGTCTCAATAACTATTTCTGAAGCATTACTTTCTTCAAGAACTTGCTGAAAGAAGTCACACCAAATGCTTCTTAATTCTACACAAACCAGGCAGTTCACAGGATGCATTCACAGGGCTCTGAAGCCCTGGGGGAGGGAGGAAGAATTAAGCTCTGCACCAGTTGCCTCACTCTGGACAGTCACTGCAGTGATGGGTTCCACAGGTTACAGTCTCAGAGCTTGTGGTGCTCTCCAGACAACAGCCAACCACGTGGCTTTGGGGGGAAGCCGAATGCACGATAAACTATGCTGCCTCTCTGTGAACTCTGGTGAGGTTCAGGTAGTGGCTGCAGTTCTACCTTCCCAAGCAAACACGCTTATCTGTCC